CTTGATCTATCTGAAGAAGTGAGCCGTGACTCACGAAAGCTCCTCCCCTGACACAAATTCTGCTAGTCCTTAAGGTGCTTCTGGATTCTGGCTCCTTTCTATTCCCCCTGCAGCTGCTGCAGTAAAAAGGCTTGTGTGGGCTGACCCTAATATATCTGAAGCTAATAGATCTGGAAAAGCGTGCCTGCAGTCGAAAGCTTATACCTGGAATAAACCTTTGTTGGTGTTAGAGCTGCGGTGGCTCAAGAGGTTAAGACGCTGAACCTGTAGGCTGTGGAAGGTCGGTAGTTCAGCAGTTCGAGACCCGAGTGTGCCGCATGACGGGGTGAGCTCCCGTCTCTAGTTCCAGCTCCTGCCAACCTAGCAGTTCGAAAGCAAGAAATTACAAGGAGATAAATAGGTACCACTTCGGTGGGAAGGTAACAAACAGCATTCCATGTGCCTTGGTGTTTAGTCATGCCAGCCACATGACCACGGAAACGTCTTTGGACAGCGCTGGCTCTTCGGCTTTGAAGCAGAGATGAGCACCGCAACCCTAGAGCCGGATTCGACTGGCTTTCGAGCAAGGGAAACCTTTACCTTTAGACTCTGTCAGGGAAAGGGCTCAAACATTAAGTTGAAGCAAACTGTGATGGTGCAGCAGCGCCCTCTGGCGCCTGAAGGGGGGACAAGGCCTCTTCTTCACACTCCCCTGATTTCCCGGAAAAGGCAGGACCGGGCGCTCCCTTCAAAACATGCACGGACAAAGTTCTCCTAAACCAGGGTGTCTCCATAGCAACACACACATTCCAGTCAGCCAGTCTCATGGCTTGGAAGTCAGAGCTGGGGACTTCCTGCTTCTGTAGCCAGGCAGCCCTTTGCACAGGGACGGGGTAAAGGAGGGTGCCTTTCCCCTTCTTCTTCCTCTAGACTGGGCCCCTCAGCCTTGAAACCCAGGCAGAAGATCGTTAGGGGCAGCTTTAGTGGTGGTGGGGCTGCCTCTGTTGGATTTCTGCCCTGTGATGCACCGTGCTTCCTGCCGGACTTCTCCTGACCCAGCAGAAACAGTCTCCAGCGCCTGCCAAGAAATCCTAACTGGGACCTTTTGAGCCCATTATGGGAACTGAGGCAGGGGAAATCACCGATACAGAATCCAGACCAGGTCCTGGCACATTCTCACCTGTGTTCCCTCTAAGCTGGGTCAGTGCGAGCTAGCTCACAGCTTTTTTAGCCTTCGGCTCACCCATTTTTGTCTCAGCTCAGGAAGGGAGGGCTCCAGAGCAAAATAACTGACACGGCAGCCCAATCGCTCGCTCACAACTGTAACGCTGGTAGCTCACAAAGTAGAATTTTTGCTCACAGGATTCCACAGCTTAGAGGGAGCATTGGTTCTCACCGCCTTGAAAGGTGACTCCTCCAGGCTGATGGTTATGAGTCCATGTCCTGGCCCCACTGGTGGACCTCCTGAGGGCACCTAGTATTTCTGGCCACTGTGTGATACAGAGTGTTGGACTGGAGGGGCCTTTGGCCTGATCCAACATTGGCTTCTCTTATGTTCTCTAATGTCCGGGGCAAGGGATGCTCTGTCTTCTTGGTGCTTGGGGGTGTGTGCAACAGTGGGAGGGCTTCTAATGTCCTGGCTCTACTGGTGGACCTCCTGAGGGCACCTGGTATTTCTGGCCACTGTGTGATACAGAGTGTTGGACTGGAGGGGCCTTTGGCCTGATCCAACATTGGCATCTCTTATGTTCTTATGGTGGAAACCCGGTCAAAGACATGATCACAGATTTTCCTTGACCAGTTAAGGAATATGTGGGGATAATGGCCCTCAGGTGGGACCTGGGGATCCCCCAAAAGGACAGCTCAGCCTCTCCAGACTACAGAGATCGCTCCCCCTGGATAAAATGGATGCTTTGGAGGACTCCACTGTACCCCACTGGGGCTCCTGTCCTCACCAGGTTCCATCCCGAAATATCCAGGAGTTTCCCAGCCTGGGTCCGACACAACCTTCCTCCCCTCCCATCTCCCACAGGCCGCCAGGGGGGCCCTGGCAACCCCAGGAGTATGCAGGCTTTGGGGTGTCACAGAGCTCTTCCTCACGTCTGTCTGGGGGGGATGTATTGACATATATGTCTAGGGTAGAAAGCTGTTACTGGATCTAGATCAGTATGATCTAGTATGTAGGTCTTAGCTGTCATGCTAAGTGGTTAATACTCTTACAGCCAGGTGTTTAACTACCAGGTGCTACTCTTTAGTCATAGTTAGAGTAGGTAATTAGTCTGCCCTGATAGTGATTGGCTGGGACTTGTATATAATGTATAAGCTTGATAAGCTGGGTTGGGGGACTTAGCTCTCTCCAACTAAGGTATGTTATGCTGTGTGACACTCTGTGTATTCTCTGTGTAAATATTCACCATTATCGCACTATAAACCTTCTGCACTTTCACCACCAGTTGGTCTCCCGGCTTCTTATTTACTGCACCCAATAGGATGTAGAAACTGGATGAACATTCAAAAAGTATCTCTGAGATGCTAAAACAAAAAAATTGTGAGTTAATTGGGTGAGAGAGCGACAGAGGGCTTGAACCTTGGTCTACAACCACTGGAGAGGCATGAAATTACAAGGCTGGTTGACCCGAAAATCGAGTTTCACTGTGGTGGGGAGAAGTGTTTTTATTTTCCTTAGGGTGATATTGGGGGGGGGGGAAATGGCTTGGAGACGACTGGGGTGGTCCCAGGGGACAGGCCCCTCCCCCTCCTGGATCAATCTGTGGGAACCGACCCTGTTCCGGAGGAGGAGCCTATTCCCCAGAGTAGGGGATGCCCCACTCCCGGACCACCGAGAAAGGAAGCTTCACGATAGGTGAATACAAATCTTCCATTTTTGTGTATCTGTCAATATTTAAGGTTTTAAATTTGACTAACAAAATCTTAAAACTTCAGGTTCTTAATTCAATTCAGTTTTGGGTAAGCCCCCCCCTCCATTTCTGTATGTATGTATGTATGCATGCATGCATGCAGGGGTCATTTCGTAGAAAAAGAGATGCAGGAGCTCATTAGCATAACTCATTAGCGCAACTTATTTGCATATGCCACACCCCCTGACATCAGCGGAAGTGTGTCAGAAGGCAATACCCACTGCTCAGGCTCCACTGGACTGTTTTGGATTGCTACCTATTGGGGGGGGGAATGTGCAGATCTGTCCTCACAGAGGAGGGAAACTTGGTCTTAAAGGTGCCACTGGACTGTTTTGGGCCCAGGGGGCAAGCTCTGCAACTTACCTGGCTGCTTCTTGCTCTGACTGAGGGTTGCTGGGAGCAGGGGGTGGGGCTTGTTGCATGTGCCCGCCCCCTGCGCTCTTTACTGCCGGAGCTCCACTCCTGTGCGCTTTTGCAGGAAATGACCCCTGTATGTATGTATGTATGTATGCATGTATTTATTTATTTATTTATGGGGTTTTTATTCTGCCTCCCCCAAACAGGCTCAGGGCGAATCACAACAAATCAAGTCAAAGACTCGTTACAGTAAAATCACATTAAAATAATAAAAACAACAGACAATAAAATTGGTGGCAGCGATATAAATCTGTTGGGGCCACGAGGTGGAATCAGATGGGTCCTTTCAGCAGGTTGGGAAACTAAAGCAGGGAGGCCAACTGAGATGGACGCCCACCGCCTCAACCGAAGGCCTGGTGGATCAGCTCTGTTTTGCAGGCCCTGCGGGGCAATAAAAGGTCCCGCAGGGCCCTGATCTCCAGTGGGAGCCAATTCCACCAGGCCGGGGCCAGGACAGAAAAAGCCCTGCCTCTGGTGGAGGCTAAGCAGACATCCTTTGGCCCGGAGGGTAACCAGTAAATCTTGGTCCTGTGAGCGCATGGCTCTTTGGGGCACATATGGGAAGAGGTGGTCCTTCAGATATGTCGGTCCCAGGCCATGTAAGGCTTTGAAGGGTTACCATTCCAAAGGTTCATGCAAACTCAATAAGGTCGTGGATCTGGACCCTTGTTCTAATCTAAGGGGAGGCCATGTGATGGCTTTAGGACATAAAGTCTCTATGATCTGAGAAAAAAGAATGTATTCCAAAACTTCAATTCCAGGCTGCAGCTGTAACCAGTAAAATAAGTGTCAGTGCCTCAGCCAAGCTGTCCTTTCATCAAATTTGGCAGCCCCCCCCCCAGAGGGTTAGAGTAGGGTCCTATATGTCCACAGCCCTTAATTTTACCCCCACCCACCCCAGTAACACCATCATCAAGTTTGCTGATGACACCATTGTGGTGGGGCTCATCTCTGGGAATGATGAGTCTGCTTATCGGGACGAGGTGGAACAGCTTTGTGTTTGGTGCAGGGAAAATAATTTGATCCTCAACACCACCAAGACCAAGGAATTGGTAGTGGACTATAGGAGGAACAAAACGGACATCCAGCCACTGTTTATTGGTGGAGAACGTGTGGAGAGGGTGGCTACTTTTAAGTTTTTGGGAGTGATTATTGAGCAAAACTTGACCTGGAGCGCTAACACCACTGCTCTGGTGAAGAAGGCCCAGCAGAGGTTCTTTTTTCTCAGACTTTTAAAGAAAAATAACTTGAGTGAGAAAATACTGATGTCCTTCTATCGTTGCTCAATAGAAAGTATTTTAACATACTGCGTCTGTGCCTGGTTTGCCAGTTGTACGGCTGTGGATAGGAAAGCACTCCAGAGAGTTATCACAGCCCAGAAGATTATTGGCTGCCCTCTCCCGTTCCTGGAGGAATTGTATAGTTCTCGATGTTTGAAAAAAGCAAAGAACATTCTGCAGGATTTGTCACACCCTGAACACTCCTTGTTTGAACTGCTGCCTTCGGGTAGAAGATATAGGACAATTAAAACAAGGACAAACAGATTAAAAAACAGTTTTTATTCGAGAGCTATTATTGCTTTAAATGCTGCATGAAGTTGGAATTTGGGTGACATTGGTGGTTTAGGTTGCAATGTGAACCTTAAGGGAGTTATGGGATGGTTGTGAATGGTTGTGTGAGTCCCTACATAAACAAAACAGAGCCCAAGGGCCCGAGAAGAGTAACAACATTTATTTGGGTCAGCTTTTGGGTGTCCCAAGCTCACTCCTGCCGATACGTGAAGGGAAAATTGTACCGGAGAATTCTATGGTGACAAACCAGGGGGGCTGCAAGCTTTTTGATCCTGCTGTAGGTCCCTTTTGGAATTTTGGCTGGTAGGTAAATAATACCGGCTGGCAATTAATACCCACTCACCGGCTGATAAATAATACCCATTCAGACCCTATTCAAAGACAGGATATCCTTTTTTTCTCCAGCTCAGCTGGCAACCCGACTAATAATTCCACCTCCATCCATTCTACTGCTGCCCGTGGTGGTTCTGTCCCTACAGAATAACTTTCCAGGAGATGCTGAAGGATTCCCGATGTGGTCGTTCTGGGGAAGCCCTGTAAGGTAGGACTGTTGAGGAAGGCACTGGGAGTGGAGGCCATTTCATTTACAAAACTGATGTCACACTTTTAGGCCCAAAACACGGCCACTGCGGCAGCTAAACAAATTAGGAGTTGAACCTCGTAAAACCCAGTGCAGCACCAGTGACAACCACAAACAAAACAAGTATATAAATAAATAAAAGAGGAACGAAGACGTCTATGGCAGTGTCAAGACTTAGAAGTTCATTACCGGCAGCAACCCCTCCCCCCGCCCTCCCCTGGGCCTCTCATCTGAGGCAGAACCAGAACCTGGGTCGTGGTCTCGGCTGGACCCAGAGGTGGCTCCCGAGAGAAGATGGCTCCATCACCCCCAGGAGGCCCTGGCTGCAGCATCCGCTCTTCTTGGGAGGACCCCTTCCCTTCCAACGGCCATTCTTCTCTTCAGACCCTCAGCGTGGAGTTCCTCACCTCACTAAACTGACATTCCGTTCCTTACGCAGACGTTACGATCTGCGCTTTCTGCTGAGAACACATCCAGCCCGAACACTGAGATTCTTGTGAACGTTTTATGACATCACAGCAGCTCAAATGAAAGCGTTTAGGAAGTAGCTCAAAGTGCGGCCCGTCGTATTTCAAGTGCTGCTGTTATTAGCCATTCAGTCCCGTCCGACTCTTGGCGATTCTGTGGGCCAGCTCTCTCTCTACGTTTTCCGATCTTGTACAGTTTCTGTGAGTCATTCCGTGCTCAGGCGGGTGTCGACTTTGATGGTGTCTAGGCCACCGTGCTCTTTGGCGGCCCGGTTTCCTTTTGCCGCTAACCCAACCAAGCATCATTGCTTTTTCTAGTACATACAACAATTCATGCCCATGTATTACTGTAAAGTAAGAAAGAGACAGTGCATGGGAGGAGGAAGGAACGCAGCAACCCATAAGCCACCTATCTTTTAAAAAAGATTAGCACTTTGGTTGCAAATATTTCAGTTCATTTCCCATTAATACTGACGGCTCAAATATCAGAGCAAAAATAAAATCGACCCAAAGCTATTAGGAGAAAAATCCTTCAAAATCCAGGCAAAAGAGATGGAAACCAGAAGCCTCTGGTAGGGAGAAGATTTGGTGGAACAACAGACAAGAGCTGAAGGTGGCAGAAGCACTTTGTGTGGGACAGAACATCCCCAGGATCTCATGAGTAGATCCCTCTTTGTTCTCTTCTTACGCTTCAGGTACAGGCACTAAAAAAGAAACAAAATGGAGAGTCTTAAGTGAAGCCACCGTGGAAGTGTCAACCTCCACCAAAACCAGCGAGTGGGGTGGATGGGGGGTGGGAGGGGGAGACACTAAGACCTTCCAAGGTAGTGTGCTAAGGGGGGGTCATCTCAACCAGGCCCCCCATACAGATCAGGCCACGAGCAGACAGCAGGGTGCCGTGCCGAGGGACCCACAGTGCAATGGCCTACAATGGGCCACTCAAGCAAGCGAGTCAAGCCACGGTCTTCAGGGGAAGACAGGAAATCAACCGGGGCGCTAACCCCCGGCACAGAAATCCCTTCCCTAAGAGGCCTGTCAGGAAGACCCTGAGCAAGCCCAAAAAAAGTCCTTATAAGCTGCGGAAGAGACGAGGAAAGGAGAAGTGAAGGCTGAAGGACTCTGAATTGTGCCTTTGAGAACTGAAATGGGATGATTGGGGGTACTGTTCCTAGACAGTTAAATTTAAGAGTTAAAGGGAAAGTATTATAAATGTTTGACTCAGTTTATAATAATCTAAACGAAATGAAGATTTGTTGTAACTAAGCTAGTGAGGATCTCCTCTCTTGGGTTTTTAGTTAGTAGTGGGTTCTTTCCTTTATCCTATATATGTAGTCCCCCTTCCCTTTTTTTCTGCAGTAGTTTTTGTAGTCTTATAAAAAATAATAAAAAATCCCCTCCGGGGGCTCAAAAAAAAAAAAAAGAAAGGAAAAAAAAAGAGGAAGACCCTAAGCAAAGTCAGAGGGGAAGGAGACCCTCCACATGGTCAAAGTTCAGAGCACCAAAAAAACCGGACTGACGGAACAAAGGGCAGAAGTCGTTCTGGTGGGGAAACGACTCCTCAACCCCACAGCTGATAACAAGGGCCATAATTTGTCCCTCTGCTGATGCTCAGAGACTACCTTAGAGGGCTGTACAACAAGCACCTAAAAACCCATTTGCAGAGGCTCTGATTTCAGGTGGAAAACTAGGTAGGAACAGACCCCATTGGATGGCAAATGGCTGCCGGCCTGGGAAACAGCCAGGCCTTCCTGAGAGAATGTAGAGCAGTGGTTCTCAACCTTCCTAATGCTACGACCCGACCCTTTAATACAGTTCCTCATGTTGCGGTGACCCCCAACCATAAAATTATTTTCGTTGCTATCATAAGACCATCAAAAATGTGTGTTTTCCAATGGTCTTAGGCGACCCCTGTGAAAGGGTCATTTGACCCCCAAAGGGGTCACGACCCACAGGTTGAGAACCGCTGATGTAGAGTATCATGAAGGGTAATGAGAGCCAGAAGATTTGGGAACCAGGAAATGTTGGTGTTTCACAGCAGGTCAGGACCAATACTCTCTCTAAGCTGTGGAGTCTTGTGAGCAAAAATTCTACTTTGTGAGCTACCGGCGTTACAGTTCTGAGCAATCAATTTGGCTACTGCATAAATTGGTTTGCTCTGGAGCCATCCTTCCTGAGCTAAGACAAAAATGTGTGAGCCAGAGGCTAAAAAACTGCGAGCTAGCTCACATCAACTCAACTTAGAGGGAACATTGGTCAGGACAGGGGTAAAAGAAGAACAGGATTTCTTGTTGTGAGAGGAAAAGGATCTCTCTCTCTCTCTGCACTAGCCATGGGAAAAAAGAAACTGAATTTTGGAGACTCAGTTGCCTCTCTCTTCGGATTCTTTGTTCCTGAGTGTGTCCCTGGGTCTTGGTGACAACAGAGCTCCGTGGTGGAAACTTAATTTCCAGGCACGCGGGGGCCTGATTTGAATCGGGACCACAGCAGACCAGGTGGCTTCAGCCTCCCGCCAGACTAGCAGCTTGGACTGAAATGCCCCCCAGGGACTCTTTTGCACATCATTACTGGGCCAGCGCTTGTTCCAAGCACAGAACGTCCAGAACACCCCTATCGACAGGACCTGGGACAGACTTGGAAACAAGGCATTGCGTCGTTAAGGCCTTAAGTTCCAAAAGGATGGATGTTTCAAACAGGTACGTGGGGTTTTCTTTTGATCCAAAGCTGTTAGTGAACTTTTTCTCGGTCGATAACTTTCCTCCAGTTAACTTCTAATTACAGGCAAAGGTTTTCCCCCCTTCACTTTTACAAACTCGATGTTCATTCTCTTCGCATATAAATGCCTAAATTGGCACAAGCTAAAGGGAGCTGCGGTGGCTCAAGTGGTTAAGACCCTGAGCTGCAGGCTGTGGAAGGTCGGTAGTTCCGCAGTTCGAGACCCGAGTGTGCTTCATGACGGAGTGAGCTTCTGTCTCTAGTTCTGGCTCCTGCCAACCTAGCAGTTCGAAAGCAAGACGTTGCAAGTAGATAAATAGGGACCACTACAGTGGGAAGGTAACAGCATTCCGTGCGCCTCGGTGTTTAGTCATGCCGGCCACATGACCACGGAAACGTCTTCGGACAGCGCTGGCTCTTCGGCTTGGAAACGGAGATGAGCACCGCAACCCTAGAGTCGGATTCGACTGGCTTTCGAGCAAGGGAACCTTTACCTTTAAAGAGGTGGAAGAGAGGGAAGGCGGCAGGGTGGAGCCCGATCTCGTCAGATCTCGGAATCTCAGCAGGGTCAGGACTTGGATGGGTAGTGTCCAAGGGAGACTCTGCAGAGGAAAGCAATGGCCAGCCACCTCTGCTTCTCTCTTGCCATAAGTGACAGCACTTGACACGGGCAAAGAGGTGGGGAGACCACCCTCCGCAATCTTGTTGTTACTGAGATAGGTTTGACTCCTAAGAACTGACCTCTCACTCAAAGCCAAAGGAGGTGGGGAAGCCAGGGAAAAACAGTGGGACTTCCTCGGAGGAAAGGGTTTAAAGTGCCTTCATGAGAAAGGTTTGGTTCTTTAAAAAAAAATTAGTAGGAGGGCTACAACAGATTTCTACCTGCTCCTTTGGGAAAGTTGGGGGGAGGGGTTTGCCTTCGAGTCACAGACAGCTTTTGGCCACCCCGCAGGGTCTTTAAGGCGAGAGACAATCAGAGGTGGCTTGCCCTTGCCTGCCTCTGCGTAGCAACCCTGGTCTCCCTTGGTGGTCTCCCATCCGGGTACTAACACCCTTGGTTAGCTTCCGAGAACTGATGAGATCAGGCTCGGCAGGGCCATCGCTGTAGGTGTAAGGAACAGGGCTGAGATACCACATGAAAACCCTCTTAAAATCTGGGCAAGGATCCCCACATGGGCCCCCCATTTCCGAGACTGGGTACCATCTGACAGCCCCCCCCTTCCCGTCACACACTTACCCCTGGTGGAGGTCTCCGACCCCTGGTCTCTTCCTGCGAAAGCGGGGGGAAGGGGGGGAGAGGGTTAATATCATTTAATTCTGGAGAAGGCCCTCCAAACACTTCACCTCCAATACGAATACCAGCCCACCATGCTTTTAAGAGTTAAAGAAGCGTACACCGCAGAAGATCTGATCCTGAATCCCCAACAAAACAGATAATTTGACCCAGGGGAATGGGATCCAAAGAAGTACCGAGGGTTGGGGAGGGGCTGCTGAGGCTCAGAGGCAGAGCCTCCGCTTGGCAGGCGGAACGCCCCAGGTTCTCCCGTTCAGGATCAGAGGGCAGGTGATGTGAAAGGCCTCTGGCCGGAGACCCTGGGGAGCCGCTGCCGGTCAGAGTGGGCAGTGTTGACCTGGATGGACCAATGGCCCGCTTCACTGTAAGGCAGCTTCACGGGAACAGAGAACGGGACAGAGATTCCTGCAGAAGAATTCGACTTACTCAGGACCTGCAGCCAGAGGTCATTCTAATATGTTTGGGCATTCCACAAGGTCCTCTTTTCTTTTTAAAGCCCCTTGTCCCCCAACCTCACCTTTTCCTCTCCCTTCCTGCCCACAAAGAACGCCCCCCCCCAGCCTGTTCCTCAGCCTCGAGGCAGATTCCCCCCCCAACTCCCCCTGCCTCCAATCGAAGCCTTGCCCGCCGTCTCACTCTCTCCTTTCAGGCCCTGCTTCCAAGCCCAAGGTCATCCCCTTCCTCCCCCTGTTGCCCCCACCCCCACACCCCACCCCCAAGCAGCAAGAAACAGAGCATCACTTGCCCCAGACTGAGAGTTCCTAAGAACATAAGAGAAGCCAAATGTTGACTCAGGCCAACACTCTATCACACAGTGGGCAAAGATACCAGGTGCCATCAGGAGGTCCACCAGTGGGGCCAGGACACTAGGACCCCCTCCCACTGTTGACCCCCCAAGCATCCGATCGATCTAGGAGGACTTTTCTAAGAAGCCACCTGGCAGTCTTCCCCTTGAGAGAGACGGGCCAGCTGGCAGTACTTTAAAATAAACTAACAAATAAAGACTTGCCAGTCCATGTTCAAAAGGCTAATCATGTGAGGAGGGGTAGGGGGCACCATCGGATACGGGAGCAACGTCTGCCCCCTGCCCGGGGCCCTCTGCCGCCCCCACGATGCTCAGGGGGGATCCGCCACAAGAACCACACACACAGCCCAGCCGAGGCGCTCCCTGTTTACTTACTCATGTAGAAGGCGACCCCGGCGGCCCCCACCAGGAGGGTAACGGCCAAGATGCCACCGAGGATGCCCAGAATGAGCCCCAGGTTGGATGCTGAGGGTGGAAGGGGGAGGGACAACATGTCACCGTTATTCAGCCTGGCGGCAGCTCTCCCGATCCTCAGGATGCGATTTTCCCAGCCAAAGTGTCTCAGGTTGCCGCAGGCAGCAGGAACTGCACTGAGGACTTC